TAAAAAAATAATTTTTGCCCAAAGTATTTGGACAATTTCGGCTACTAATGGAAGCAGTTTCGGCAGAAACCTTAATGTAGATACATTGAATAATCATTTAATGATTTTATTAAATGGTCCAGATATTCAAGATTTTAATTTTGAAAAAGCATATGAACATTGGACAAATAAAAAAGATTGATATCAATAAAATTTTTTTTTGGTTGTGATCAACAAAATGTGCGCATTTTTAGTGTATATAGACTCAATTTCCTACACTGATAATAATAATCACATTACTAAATTTTGATCCTGAAATCCTTGGTAATACCAATGTTCACTTTGTCTGGTTTTGTTGCAGCATGCCCCATATTATCTTGATAAGATACTTCACTTGACAATCTTCGCAAAACATGTGAATAAAATTTTTATTGCGTGGCACAGAAAGTTGTAGGAACTAAGTATCTTTGCACTATTACTATATTACACCCATATTATACCCATTAATGGAAAATACATTAATTAACGTTACACGTTGCAGATAGTTTCTAAATTTGTACAAGTTACACGACGAATTTTATCGTTTGAATGCTGCGTCATGTTCATTTTTTTTTTTAATTTTTTCTTCTTTTATAGTAAAAAATATTTATACAGAAATGATAAAAATCTTAACAGTATGATAAAAATTTGAAAAAACAAAATTGGTAATTTGTTACATGTAATTTTTTTTTTTAAAAAAATATAATTTAAAAGAAAGAAAAAATAAATATATATATTTTTAAAATTTTTTTTTTGTTTACAATATAATATATATATGTGTGAGGTTTTTTTAATATATATATCACAGTAGTAATGATAGTATACTTATGTGTAAATTTATATATATATACATACATAATAAAGATATATATATTTTATACGTGTATATGTATATATATAGTTTAAATATTGAACAAATCAATCTGAATTAGCCATACTACCACTCATAACACCTTCATGTGCAGGATTATACGTGAATCCAGCAAATTGTTGTTGTACAGTTTCTGATAGATGTGAGTCATTAACTAAAGAATCTTGAGGTGTTTCTGAAGTAAATTCTTCATCAAAATTTGAAGTATCTATTGCTGATTCCTGTGATTGATAAAAATTATCGTATTAACATTATTTGTTTTCTTTTTAAAGGAAAAAAAAATCATATATTTGAGATATACGTACAACACTTGGTTTGAACGGAGGCTGAACTTTCTTTTGCATGAGTTTTCTCCAATCAATTGAAGCAAAAAATGTATGATCTTTAATTTCTTGAGCTCCGTTATTACCAAGACGATTATTTGGATCTCTTGTCAATAACTAAAAAAAATAATACACAAACATAATTATAAATATATGAACTCTTATTTCTGATAAAAATATATCATAAATAATATGTCAAAATATTAACCCCAATTAATAAACTTTTAGCCTGGGTGCCTACTTCTTCCGGGAATCTAAGTTCATCCTGTAAAATTTTACGATACATTTCATTTACATTATCATCGTAGAATGGTGGCAGACCCGTTAACATCTCGTATAATAGAACCCCTAAAGTCCACCAATCAACAGTCTTGGTGTATCCTTGACCGACCAAAAGTTCAGGGGCCAAATATTCTGGTGTCCCACAAAAAGTGTTTGTTGTTTCTGATTCGGTCATATTCAATTTACATAAACCGAAATCACATAATGCAATATGACCTGAATAATCTAATAGAATATTTTCAGGTTTTAAGTCTCTAAATTTTTGGTGGGAAGAGGATTAATAATTAAATTAAATTAAATTCTTTATTTCCATAAATGTTCAAATCATTACCTATAGACAACGTTAAAATCGTGTAAACATTCTAGAGCACATAATAGTTCAGCGGCATAAAATCTTGATCTTTCTTCATCGAATCTACCTTCACGTTGTAAATGATGAAATAATTCACCGCCATTAACAAAAGCCAATACCAAATATAATTTTTCTGGGCTTTGAAAAGAAAATTTTAATGGTACAATGAATGGATTATTAATTTGAGCTAGAACAGTTCGCTCAGCAAGAGTATGATTAACCTCGGATCTAGATACAATATGAGCTTTTCTAATAGTTTTTAAAGCATAAATACGAGAAGTATCATTTTTTCGTACTTGCATGACCTTTAATAATTTAAAATTTTTGGAAGGGAGAGAGGATGAAAAAAAATTTTGTTTTTAAGAAAGTGCGAAAAATTTTTAAATTTACTTGTCTTTTTATAAATGATTTTTTTATTTTGTGTTGTTAAAAACAAAAAAAAACCATTACCTTGTTAGAAATGCAAATAAAAAAATTCACCTTGTTAAAAAACGGGAAAACCGTCGCCTTGTTAAAAAGATTAATTAAAGAAACTTAGTTAAAAATTATTATGTAAAATTAACCAATAAAAATTAATCTTATGAAGGGTGATCGTCAAAAATATCACAATTTAGCCAATGAAATCAAATGTCCACTATGCTACTTACCTTACGTTAATAAATTTGAAGACAGGATGTTGATGATATACCCTGGTATTAATCAAATATGTTACATAAGCAAGCTCTTTCTAAGAACAACCAACGTAAACTCGTAGTAAAAACATCACAAATCCCAAGCAAGCATTATGACTCAATATAATTGATTTGACTCTCCAATTAATTTGACTCAGTTAATTTGACCCCTCATTTTTATTTCCAAAAACAAAATGATTTTCTCTATTACTATACAATTACGCGGCAAATAATTATAAAATAGTAATGCTCTCGAAAAATTTAAAATTTTATCGTTTTAAAATTTCATTATTTTCATTATTGTTTAAATTTTTTTAAACATGTCATTAAATAAACTTCGTGATGAAGTACTTTCTAATCAAGCTGGCGAAGAAAGAGTTGAAATTAATCAAAGACACTTAATTGATAAAATTTTAGCAAGGTATTATCAATTGTCAATTATCGGTATTATTATTACAAAAGTCTTTTAACTTACCGTAAATTTCTTGATATTTTTAATCAATAGATATTCCAATGAATTTGTTGTTTATAGAGAATTATTACAAAATTCTGGTAAATGTTTTTTATTTTTCGAGTAAAATAATTGATATATAGAAAAATCGATCAACTATTAAATTATTGTTTTTAGATGATGCTAAAGCTACAAACATTGAAATAATATTTGAGACTAAAAAGCCTAAAAATGTTAGCATGTCGGATAAATGTGTGAGAATATTGTTCAAAAACAATGGTTTTTTATTTAGGCCTGAAGATTGGAATAGATTGAAAAAAATTGCTGAAGGAAATCCTGATGAACAAAAGGTTTATATATATATCTTTTAAAATTTTACGATTCATATACACATGTATGCATTTATATTATATACATAATACTTAATAGATTATATATAATTGAATTTAGATTGGTGCCTTTGGTGTTGGATTTTATTCCTTGTTTTCAGTTTGTGATGATCCTTTGTAAATAACTATTATTAAAAATTTCTTTTTTTATTATGGATTACAATTATTCTTTTAATTATTAATCCCATGAATAAACTATTACTACTTTTTTACATATTTAAATAGTGTATCATCAGGTACACAAGCTATGGCCTTTTATTGGCGTGGAGATCAATTATTTTTTAAACGAAAGGATATCAAACAGAATGATAATATTTGGACAACATTTTTGATGGATACTATTGAAAATGGAAAAAAAGTAAGCCTATAATTTATTTTTGTGATAGTGATATGTATATATTGATTGATTGATTGATTGATTTGTTGGTTGGTTCTATTTTAGTTACCTGAAATAGAAGTTTTTGGACGTTTTCTAGTAACTTCACTGGTAATAATGATCGTTTATATTTAAAACTGATATTTTTAAATTAAAGCATATGACAGAAAGATATAAATATATAAACAAGTAATCATTTATTATCACCATCACTATTATCAACTTATTTCAGGGCTTCACAGGGAATCTTAATAAAATTACAGTCTACTTTGATAACATCCAAGTAATTCAATTAACAAAAAAAATGGATGTACCACGACCAATGTCAATCAAACATGGAATAAAAAAAAATTCACCAAATAATCTGTTTGAATTGAAATCAGTTAATGTCTACAAAGCTCAATTAGATGTTAATATCTTAATTACTTCAACAAAATCTCCAATAAAAAATTTTTTATCTGGAAAATCCACAATTTTCCTAAAAATTGCTAGTGGTAATGTTGATTTAAAGATTCCAGAGCCATTTCGTGTGGAAATGGAACGTGCCACCAAGAAATGGCCTCCAAAAAATACAAAGATACAAATGATTTTTACTAGTTATGATGAACAATGTTCTTCAGATCAAAATAAATATATTTCAAATGTATTCAGAGATTTATTGGCATTCCCTGAACAAGGTAAAATATTTATAGGGTTTCCTACTTTTCAAACAACTGGTTGTTCTGCGCACCTTGCAGCTAGACTAATTCCTACAGTAAGTAACCATATTTGTTATGTGTGTGTGTGTGTGTGTGTATATATATATATATATAAAATAGTTTTTCATCAAAAAAATACATATTTATTTGTCCCTTTATTATTATTATTATTATTTTAAGGTTGAACGTGAATCAGTTGATTTGGCACATAAAACCCTAGCAAAATATAATGAAGGAATGTTATCTTTAGCTGGTACATTGTCTCGTATAATATATGAAGATGAGCTGATACAAATTTCAAAACTGTACAAGAGCTTGTTTGGTTCAAAGCCTGCAACATTTCAAAAGAAATCTGAATTTGAAGATTTTCAAAAACGTGTAGCACATGTTTTGGCACATTTTACATTTAAACAAAGTACACCTAGAAATGAGATCTCAACAATCAGTGAATCACAATTTTTTAATTGTATATCAACTCCATTACCAATATTATCTACTCATGGTATTTTACCAATTGAATCTATTAGAATACCAACCCCTGAAACAGTGCTTTTTATCAAGAGCATCCCAATTGTTCCACCATTATTGTTAAATAAATGTTGTGAATTTTTCAAAAAAGCAAAAGATACTTTAAAGCTCATGTCTGAAATCTCAATAAATGACATTTTTAAGGAATTAGAAGGTCGTGCATTAGATGAAGACGAAATAATAAGTTTATTGAAATGGTGGATAGGTTATGAACCTAAAAATTTAGCTGAAACGGATCTTTCTTCATCGAATCTACCTTCACGTTGTAAATGATGAAATAATTCACCGCCATTAACAAAAGCCAATACCAAATATAATTTTTCTGGGCTTTGAAAAGAAAATTTTAATGGTACAATGAATGGATTATTAATTTGAGCTAGAACAGTTCGCTCAGCAAGAGTATGATTAACCTCGGATCTAGATACAATATGAGCTTTTCTAATAGTTTTTAAAGCATAAATACGAGAAGTATCATTTTTTCGTACTTGCATGACCTTTAATAATTTAAAATTTTTGGAAGGGAGAGAGGATGAAAAAAAATTTTGTTTTTAAGAAAGTGCGAAAAATTTTTAAATTTTAATCGATTTTTAATTAATTAATTTTCGTACCTTTCCAAAACTACCTTTACCAATAACTTTTAACAATTCGAAAGCATCAATTTTTAAAGGTGTATTTGCCTATATATAAGGGATAGTAATTTAAGCAAGGAATATTAATTTAACGAATATGATTACTATAATAAATGATATTTAATATTAGAAGTAACACTTACACTATCTTTTTTATAAGTAAAGTTTACGTGGACACTACCCGAACCTCCTTGAATAGGATACCATTCTTCATGTAATCTCTGATTAAATATATAAATATCAAATTAATATACATATTTAATAAATAATATGCAATAATTTATATGTGAAATAAATCTTACGTTTGGTTCATTGAAATTAGGTGAAAATTTTACACCGCCTAAAAATACATCATTTCCCATGTCATTTGTGTGATGTCCTGTTTGAGTTGCTTTTCTTAAATAAACTTGTAGAGATACCTCTGATTCACGTGAAACATCACTAAAAAAAATTGTAATTTTTTTAATTAGTTAAAAATAATTAAAAAATATCCTCAAAATAATAATAATTGTCAATTACAAATTTGCTTTATATTGCCAAGTAGGATTTTGTACTTCACCACCCAAAGCATCAATCAATATTTCATTCTTATCAAATTCTAATACAACATAAGGTAACCACCAGCATTGTCTTCTCTGCATGCTATCTCTATTACTGCTTCGTGTAGTATGCGTGTTAGCAGAAGCTGACGAAGAAGTTGGAGTGGCAGAAACAAATTGTTGAGGATTTTGAGGGGTCGATATACCAGGTGGTAAAATGATCCCACGTGCCTCAATAACCCGGATGATAAGTAGACCAGATGCAGGAATAGGAGTTGGGCTAGTTGGTGTAGAGGGAGTATAATTACCATTGGTGGAATTAGAAGCATTAGAGGCATCTGAACGATTATGATTGTTACTACTACTATTATTGTTATTGTTACTGTTGGTATTATTTCCACTGCTGCTACTGCTATTGCTTTGTTGTAATTGTGAAGGCCTCTGTGAATTTTGCCAAAGACGCATCTTTAAATTTTAATGGAAATTTGATAAAAAAATTTTAAATTTAGAATATATAAGAATAATGTTTTTTAGAATGAAGGAAATTTTATAAAAACTAATTTAATAAAATAATTTATTAATTTATATTAATATTTTATTTATGTATATATATATATATAAATTATATATATATATATAAGGGCCAAAAAAAGTCTTGAAAGAAAGATTTAGAGTATGTATGTGTGATTGTGATTGATTAATGGTTTTATATTGTAAAAGGAAAGTTTGTTATAATTATTTAGTTTTAATATTAACATCAATGATTGGTCCTTAAAAATATTTCTCCAATTTAATTATTAAAGAATAACCAATTGATTTTATTAATAGAAATTTAAAATCTATAATTAAAACATTTTGATTTATTGTTTGTTGTACAACAAATTCAAAAAAAAATTTATAAATAAATGAATTTAAAATTTTATATTTTTTCAAAAATATTTTTTTTAAAATACAAAGTGCAGTGAACATTATGTCACAAAGAAATTTCAGGGGTTAATGTTGATTAGTTGTTAAAAGATTTAGCGTCACAATTGTGCTACTGATATGATTTCACAGCAGAGAAATCAATATTCTT